CTCGAAAGGCTCCATCTCGAGTACGTAGCAAGCACCGGGCGCGGCTACATGACAACCACTATCGTGGTCGAGGGTTGGCCCGATCAGGTCATGCTGCACCGAAACCCACTTCACGTAAGTCGTTTACGTGTCAACCAATGTCTCTATCCACTGCGTCCACTTATCCATTCCCTGCTCTCTCCCTAGCTGCCTTCTCTACCTTCCCTTCTCTCCACTGCTGCCATGTCTCCCTTCCCCGCTCTCTCCCATCGCTGCCATCTCTCCCATCCCTACTCTCTCCCCTGCTGCCATTTCTGGTTTCCCTACTCTCTCCCCTGCTGCCAATGTCTGGTTTATATTCTCTCTCTCCTGCTGCCATGTCTCCCCTCACTGCTCTCTCCCTATGTGCCATATCTCTCTTCCATGCTCCATCCCCTGCTGCCATGTCTCCCTTCCCTGCTCTCTCCCATCGCTGCCATCTCTCCCATCCCTACTCTCTCCCCTGCTGCCAAGTGCGGTTTCCATACTCTCTCCCCTGGTGCCAAGTGCGGTTTCCATACTCTCTCCCCTGCTGCCATGTCTCCCTCTCTTGCTCTCTACCTCGCTGCCGTCTCTCCCTTCCATGCTCACTCCCCTGCTGCCATGTCTCCCATCCGTACTTTCTCCCCTTCTGCTATGGCTCCCTTCCATACTCACTCCCCTGCTGCCATGTATCCATTACCAACTCCACACACTGCAGCCATGTCTGGTTTACATACTCTCTCTCCTGAACGCATTGTCTCCCCTCACTGCTCTCTCCCTAGCTGCCATCTATCCCTTCAATGCTCTCTCCCCTGCTGCCATGTCTGGTTTCCCTACTCTCTCCCCTGCTGCCATGTCTGGTTTCCCTACTCTCTCCCCTGCTGCCATGTCTGGTTTCCCTACTCTCTCCCCTGCTGCGATGTCTCCCCCCCAACGCAAGACACTAATGCCATGTCTGGTTTACATTCTCTCTCTCCTGCTGCCATGTCTCCCCTCACTGTTCTCTCCCTATGTGCCATATCTCCCCTCCATGCTCCATACCCTGCTGCCATGTCTCCCTTCCCTGCTCTCTCCCATCGCTGCCATCTCTCCCATCCCTACTCTCTCCCCTGCTGCCATGTGCGGTTTCCATACTCTCTCCCCTGCTGCCATGTCTCCCTCTCTTGCTCTCTCCCTCGCTGCCGTCTCTCCCTTCCATGCTCACTTCCCTGCTGCCATGTCTCCCATCCGTACTTTCTCCCCTTCTGCTATGGCTCCCTTCCATACTCACTCCCCTGCTGCCATGTATCCATTACCAACTCCACACACTGCAGCCATGTCTGGTTTACATACTCTCTCTCCTGAACGCATTGTCTCCCCTCACTGCTCTCTCCCTAGCTGCCATCTATCCCTTCAATGCTCTCTCCCCTGCTGCCATGTCTGGTTTCCCTACTCTCTCCCCTGCTGCCATGTCTGGTTTCCCTACTCTCTCCCCTGCTGCCATGTCTGGTTTCCCTACTCTCTCCCCTGCTGCGATGTCTCCCCTCCAACGCAAGACACTAATGCCATGTCTGGTTTACATTCTCTCTCTCTTGCTGCCATGTCTCCCCTCACTGTTCTCTCCCTATGTGCCATATCTCCCCTCCATGCTCCATACCCTGCTGCCATGTCTCCCTTCCCTGCTCTCTCCCATCGCTGCCATCTCTCCCATCCCTACTCTCTCCCCTGCTGCCATGTGCGGTTTCCATACTCTCTCCCCTGCTGCCATGTCTCCCTCTCTTGCTCTCTCCCTCGCTGCCGTCTCTCCCTTCCATGCTCACTCCCCTGCTGCCATGTCTCCCATCCGTACTTTCTCCCCTTCTGCTATGGCTCCCTTCCATACTCACTCCCTTCCATGCTCACTCCCCTCACACTGCCGCCGACACCCCTCCACATATCCCTCCAGGTGTGGATCATGGAAGAATGTTGCAATCCACCACTGTCGCACGAGCAACCACCAGTACCTTGCAGCCATAACTCCTCACGGCCTTTCCCCTTCCCCCCTCCGCTGTATCTCTGTCTTGCCAACTGGTGTCAATCAGGGGTTTCCCTGCACGGGCTGCAACCAGCCATATCTCCCTTGACATTTACCTTTCCTCCCCCTATCACCCTAGACCCTGGAATAATCTCCTCCTCCCAAACACGTTGCTCCTTCCCCCCTCCCTCCCTATCTCCCGCTACCCCCCAGGTGGGGAATATCGGGCCAGCACTGGACTCCAAGACCGTCGTGGCTGGTTTGTCGCATGGTGGCTGCGGGGTGTTGACTTTGCAACGCATCTCGTAGCTCCAGGAGGTTGGGATAGGAGCATTCCCATTTGCCGTCTGTGCCATTGTGATTTTGTTTTTGCAGGCGCACACGACCATGGCAATTCCGGCAGCGGAGGGAGAACACTTCTCACGTGTCGCTCATTTTATGAGAGCCGCCCCTGACCCCTACTCAAGGCCATGGTTCTCAGATGTGGCGGTCAAGGGGACAGCACGAGATGGGTATGGAAATCTTTTGCTTCTGTTTCATACCATGGTCGGGGGCTGCAAGAAGGAGTTGGCGTATGTGAAGTACTGGACTAGGACAGGAGAGGATGCGAAAACTGGTTGCACCCGGCTTGCTTGGACTCCCGGGAGATCACTTTATTCTGTGATCGACGCCGACATTATTTATAGGGAGGTGCACGTTATCAAGGCGTTCCATAGCGACACTTTTTTTTTGCTCAACAAGTATCAACTTAGGGGATGAATATGCTATTGCATTGTACATGTACATAACCTTGGGGGCCTCCCAAAGCCACCACGGTAGCATGTGGACGCTTAGACATTGCTAGGAGATCAATGCAAATTTGACGTTGCTGCTAACCGTTTTGATTCAGATTGTGGAATGCATGACAGTTGAATTCAGGTTTACAATAACATTGACGAAATATAATTGTGTTACTAAAACTAAGGCAAATTGTAGTATAAGATTGGACCATTATTAGACCTTGTAAGGTCCAATCATGGACTACTTAAAGAGTGGTGTTACATAGGTCAATTTGTTGACACGAATTTGAACAGAAATAGCAGCGCGATTTCCGAATGGCTTGGCGAAGTTGGACCACAAATTGACGCGCTTTGGTTGCACCCGCCAATTTCCGGCCAATTTGGCACGAATCGCGGCGAACCCCCCTGAAACATAAGTTGCACGTCCCGAACTCCCTCGAAGCCCCACGAGGGTTGTTTGAACTAGTAGTTGTTCTTGCTGCTTGCCTATTTGTACTCCTCCTTCCATAGTGCAATCACTTCTACTCTCTCCATACCCCCTTGGCCTAGGCTTCTAAGCCTAGCCCCTACCTAAATCCTAGCTCCTATTTAAACTACGATTTTGACATGTTATCAGGGCCTTTGATCCTACGGACCAAAAGTTTTATGGGCCCATCAGTCATGCTTGCCATGGCGCCCCTTGTGCTCTCGTCTGTCACGTGCGCTGCCCGTCCGCCCCACGCGCAACCCGAGCCGCCCCGTGCGCAGCCAGTTCCGCCACATGCCAGCCAGCACGGAAACATGTGCATCAGCGCGCGGTTCACGCCAGTGCGTGACCAGACGTAGCAGCGCGCCGTCCCACGCCCGTGCGCGACCAGGCGCCGCAGTGTGCGCCCCACGTCCGCGCGCTACCCATGGCTGGCGTTTCAGTTTTGGGGCTCCCTGACGGGATTTTTTTTTTCCCCGTCAAGTCTGAAGGCCCTTTGGCCAAAATATGGCCACTCTCATTGCTCAGTCTCGAGAAAATGCATTGTCTGTCCACTTAGGGTTGGTGGGTTCGATTCAGGGTCGTGGGGTCGGTGTACTGACTGTTGCAAAATGTCGATTTTTTTGGCGTCATTCAAATTTTCGATCACGCGCAAGCCAAAATGTCAAGGCTTATACTAACTGTTGCAGTCACGTAGCGCATATCGGGTGGCAACAGTGTAATGCTGCAACAGTCAGCGTCGCACCACTGCATATGCGCTGACTGTTGCCTACAAGTCAGCGGACATTTTGACATATTACACTCTGTGTGCACCAATGTTTTGGTGCATTAACCCTCTAAGCACCGAACAGTGCGATACATTACATCTTGCAAGATTTTCTCTGCTAAAGGCTTCGCTTTCTTATTCACCCACTCGTTGAGCGATCGACTAAATTCATTGTTTTGCACAGTTTTTTCTTATGCTTCACCGGTAATTTCATGACATAACCGACGATTTATTCGGGTGTCACAGAGGCGCAGTGCGCTTTGCTCACGTGCCCGAACCATACTGCTCCCTCGGAGGTGGGTTTATCGAGAGGAAGTTTCCGGGAAACTTCGTCCCGATAGACTCGCATTCAGGGCCCACGTAATTGATACTCTATAGTAACAGGCTCCGCAAAAACTATACTCTAAAGTACATTACATGAAATCAGGGCCCCTAAACAATAACTCTGAAGCACGCAGGGACAAGAAATCAACTTATATGAAAAGTCAGTTTCCAGTGCCTAGACACCCTGATTTGTCAGACTAATCAGAGTATTTAGTCTGATAGCAACAGCCCTGACGCTACCGGCAGCAGCAGCGTGTGCCGCCCCTCCTTCCCTTCCACGGTTTCCTCCCTGGGGGGGAAGATGAGGGTTTGGCGGGGGTGACCAGCAAAGGGCCACCAGCTGCCGCCCTCCTCTCTCTTCCTGCAACGCTTATTGCTGCAAGGGGGGGGGGGGGAGAGGGGGTGATGGGAGAGCATCTGCAACGTCATGCGCCTCCTCCTCTCCTTACTACCTTTCCAGATTTCTGTCCACTGCGCCAACTCTGACTCGTCTCTGCAACCACCCAGCATCTGCAGCTGCATTGCAAAACTAGCTTGAGTAGTTTCGTGTAGAAAAACAATCGCTGGCAAATAGAGGGGGGAACCCAGTAGCCTTTGCCTCGCAGACCTAAAGAGTTGGCCAATGGTTGGCTACTTCCAAGGATTTCGGGCGAATCGATTGCGTGTAGCCACATGGTTCGTCCGAAATCTGGTTGGGTCTGCACTGTTTTCAAGGCACGGGTGGTGAGTGTTCGGTTTGGCAGAGGCTTGGAAATGCTTTTGATTGATTCCGAACCAATCATGAGCTGCACGTTCCCAGGAAGTTGGAACTCGATATCGGAGGGAGGAGCTGAATTCGATTGTCTGAAACTGTTGCGTTTTATCGGCGTGTACGTTTAGTATAACTTTTCTTATGATATTTTGTTAATGTTTTAGCTTGGAAGAGGTTTTTCTTGTAAGCTTTTTAAAGCATCATAATGGTTCGTGTCTCATTTTTACACCACAAATACCTTCCCTTACTTGGATTACGCATAACAGAGTGACCATTGAAATATATTAGCTTTCTATTTTAATTTACATACACATCTTTATTATATTGAGCTCATTTTTTGTTGGACATTTGGCTTAAGTTGTAAGACACTCCTATAACAACAACGACGACGACGACAACGACAACGACAACGACGACGACGACAACAACAACAACAACAACAACAACAACAACAACAACAACAACAACAACAACAACAACAACAACAACAACAACAACAACAACAACAACAACAACAACAACAACAACAACAATAGCAGCAACAACAGCAGCAACAACAGCAGCAGCAGCAACAGCAGCAGCAACAGCAGCAGCAACAACAGCAGCAGCAACAGTAACAGGAACAGCAATAGGAACAGCAACAACAACACCAACGACAACAACCACGCCAACGACGCTAACATCGCCAACGACGCCAACAACGCCAACAACACCAACAATACAGCAATACGGCACATGATTACATTTGTAACTAAAAAAATTTGAGCTCCATAAGAAATATTGATGTAAAAAAAAAAAGGTAATGGGGAATTAATTGGTTTACAATAGGGCAAGAGATTTTTTTTTTAACATAAACTTTTATTCATATTCTGGGCAGTTTTGATTTTAATTGATCAAGTTATTGATGAATTTGTGAAAATATTACATGATAACAGCACCATGCGTTGGGTTTTTGTGTCTATGGTCAGATATCACCTATATTTTGGACCATTTGTCCTCATTATTTCTGGTTTTCGAAAAGAGATATCGGGCGCAATGTTGTTCTAATCTGGTAGGTCTCTGGATTGATCAATGTGTGTACAATAGGGTCTTGAAACTGCACAGCTGTAACACATACCACATTTGTCGAGCTGGCAGCAGTTAGCGAGCCATTTCTATTTGTCAAGCTGGATATCTCGTTGTATACCTAAGTAAGCCAAGATGCCAATGTAACCAATCGTTGCTCAGAACTGCGACAGCGCTGCTAAGCGGAATGTCCAATCTGTTGCGAACACCAATCGAAATCCCGTTTTCACTGCTGAGCCACGGAGGGGCCGAATCAGAACCTTCGACGCCACGTTGGCGGTTGCTTTGCTGGTTTCGAGGTTCCATCTACCGCCAATTGTGGGGAGCAGTTTCTGTTCAATAGCCAAGTCGCATTTCCTTGAAGTTCCGGGGCGCATCTTGCGATCCGCCAAGCCCCACATTTGGCTTCCCTCGCCACGCCAGCTACATTGACACCCATCCAAAATCTGAGGGTCCTCATGCGACAGGCGATTCGTCAACGTCTAGCCCGACCTCTCCAACGACCCACCCGACTATGTCGCAAACACATCATTTTGGTCGTAATGGTCGGGACTACCCCGAACTTACCCTACTCCCCCTGAAGTTGCGGAAGAGTCACACCAACCGCAGATTATGCAGGTTTTGCTCCCTAGGACCCTCCCGACTTAAGGTAAGTTTTTCTCAACCGAGCCCCTTGCTTGTGTTTGTTTTGGGTGATTTCCTTTGCCTCACTCGCAGCTACCCGGTGCCCCCGAACAGCCACCCGTTTCCCCCACAGCCCTCAGCAACAACCACGTCTGCCAACTCCCAGCAACTTGGCCACCTCTCAACAACTCCGATAACTGCTTCCCCCCTACGACCCGACAAACTCAACCACACTCCGCATGATGACCCCAATCTGTGCTGGCAATTGCCTTCGCCATTCGGCCTACTTTCTCTCGTCGCATGCAAACCACGCTTCTTCATCCAGAGACAGCACCTCACTCCTCCCGCCGAAAAATATGTCTGGTCGTCGCGAGGTTCTCGAACCGTCGGTAAAGTCCCTTACTTTCCCTTAGTACTCGCCCGCCCGCTATCTCAACTGGAAAACAAACACCTTTTTTCGCACCGGCCCAAACACCTCCCCTGTCATACTTTCTGGTTCCATCGGTTTATACCCTGGCCTTCCCCACGCGACCTGGAAATACCCCCACCTTGGAGAAACGCCACAACCATCATTGGTTCACGCCTCAAGAAGTACGCTGGCTGCCCTGCTGGAGCAGCATTAATGCTCCACCTCCCCTCCGCACAGACGAAGGCGGCCAACGCCCGCCGTGTAAGCATGACTGCCACTGCCACCCCTCTACCTCTCCACCATGCAACACCAGGAACTCCCTCGACACTTCCTGGCCAACAAGGTACGTTGAGGCACATGCGCCCACCTGGCCCCCGCTCTCCGTCACCTCCCTTGGGACCTCCCTCAGTCACGCCCCCCTGTACCCCTTGTGAACTACCTCCCTGCTCTCATTCTCCCTGCATGCCCTCGAGGTTTGTTTCATAGTCTTTCAGCTGGCAAACTCGCTACCTTGTGCCCCTCTCGTTACCTGGAAAACTGCTCAACGCCTCAACCCCTCGCCGTGCGCTTGAGCCGGTATGGCACTCAGACCTGGAATGCCGATCAGGCTGCCGGTCATCCTTTCGGTTACGCAGTGGCCAACGCCTATGCGCCCGACTTTCTTACCATGCCCCTGTCCCCAATCAGAAGGGGCAGTCCACACGCACCCCGCGCTCCGTGGCACCGCCTTCTGCACGCGACATCCCCCACGTGGGCCGGGTGGCCATCTCCCCCCCTGCCCTTTCACGACCTCTGCGGCCCTTCTCTTCGTCACCCATTGGTACCTTGCCTGTTTCAGGCTCCGCCCCTTCCGTCCTTGCCAGGTTATGCTGCTCGGCTGACTGCTCCTGTTCGATGCTACTTATTCTCCACCGTCAGTTTCCTTCAGCACTCACTCTCCCGTTGGTTCCCACAATCTCTGTCTTCCCTCTCCGCTCTCTCGCTACGGCTGACATCCCGTAGTTTGATGAAGTAATGGAGCTCATCGATGAGGAGCTCGAAGCGATGGACCTCCCGGACGACCCCGCCGGATCCAACCTCCCACGCACCCGTTCGCCCACGGAACTCCCTGCATCCAAGAAGCCCTGCGTCGATGCCGATCCTCGCTTACCTCCCCAAGAGTCGGCCGCTGCCACCTCTGAAGTCACGGAACGGCCTGCTGACACGCCCAGACAGTCCGCGATGCAGTCCACTAGCACGAACACCTCCGCCGCTGCAATTTCTGCCTCTACACCAAGCGCCGCCGCTCCCGCCCACCCGGCTCCGGCGACCCCCGGCCCGAGCTCCGCAACCCCGACTGGCCCCGCAGAGATCGCCGAAGCAAGCGCGACGGTGACCCCGCCCGCGGAGTTTCCCCCCGAGCCTGAGCTGCCGCGCTCTTCTCGTCAGCCGGCTCCGCCTCCCCTGACTCTGCCCCCCCCCCGTCCTTCCGATGAGTAGCCGCTCTGTGGTTACCCTGCTCTTCCCGGAGGCAGGAGCTGACGCTATCCGCGCTATGCTCATTTCCAAAATCCTCGTGAAACTGAAGCCATCTCTCTTTGACTGCGGTTTTGTGCCTGGCGCCCGCCCCACCAACGGAGAGATCATGCGCTTCGCCGGACGGCCCTATGCGACGATTTGTTTCTCCTGGCCGACCGAACAATCTGTCCGCGAGTTCCTCCCCATATTCAATCACCCCATTGAGCTCTCCCCCGGAATCATCTCGGTCAAACCGTATGTCGACCCCCACCCCGATTTCACCAGGGCCAATGCAAATGGGGCCCCCGTGCTCTCCCTCCGCCGGGTTTCGGCCTGCTTTAAAGAGTCGAACCTTCTCGCATACCTTGTGCCCGACTGGCTGGCCGGAAACGACTCCTTCCACCGCATGCAAGACCCCTACAATGGGGTTTTCCTCCTCGTACTCACCGGCATCCCAATCCCGCTGCCGGCAGACCCGGATTTCCGCACCATCCCAGCCCTGATCCCCGTCGGCGGAAACTTCCCGGACATACTCGTTAACGTCTCCACCCATGTCTGATCCATCTGTGCAAGTAACCACCGCGTGGAGGATCACGCAATCTTCCCCCGTTAGTGCAAGGGACGGCTCAGCAACAAGGCAAACGGTAAAAGTCTCCGCCCCTCTTCCTTTTTCCCGCCCTGCCTCCTACCCTCCCCCCATTACGATATTGCTTGTCCATTTCGCCTTTTTGTTGCCTCCCAATCAGAACCCTTCAACGCCCGATCCCTTCCCCCCCCCCTCTCTCCCGCAACCCCTAGATTTCCTTCCCACCTCTCCTGCCCCCACCTACCCCCACTGAACCCGACCCACAGGAAATGCCCTTGGAGCCCGTCCCGCACCCAACGCCTTCCGTGCTGACCCCGGTCTTCTTTTCATCGGCACGGATTTGGATGTCGAGCCATGGACCTGTGTGGCCTGCAACTTCGAATGCGGCCCCGCACTCGACAGTGCGTTGCAGCATATGGAATCTGCACAACATCGCTCCCAGCTTCTTGCCAACGCGCACAAGAAGGCAGCCAAGGAGATTTACCTCACCTGGAGCTTCCCTGCCTTCATGAAGGAAGGGGGTTTCGAGGACTTCCTCAAGAAGTTGAAGAACATGCCCCGTGCCTAAATGTCATATGCATGTCCCTGTATCGATGCCCTCGCTGGTTAGGTCTGAGTTGTTTTGCACTGGAACAATCAATAAAACTCGACCCTGCAGGCTCGTTGATCACTACTTCTATAACGCCCTCCCCCCTCCAATCGAGGAAAAGTGTATCCCCACATAAAAGCCCCACCAGCAATAGCACTCTCTACGCATGAAGGAGTAGAACCACAGAAGTCAGAAGTGGGATCCGCATACATTGCCCAGCGGAACCCAAAACCCAGCTCAACTACCTGCTGAATGCACACCTCCCCAACGAACACACTGCACCTACACTACTCGACTATAGAACCTAATGTCCCACACGACCTTCCCAACCGTGCAGGCCACGATATATCGCTCTCGAATGTACTAGTGTAAGAATTTTCCCCTCACCCACACGACCACAGCACAACACTCTGCATCTCCTTTCCCCAATTGACCGCCTAGTGCCTCGGGACAATGCGCCGATCCCTCTCTCCACCCCCCTCCCGCCCTACCCAACCACGCATCAAAACTCCCTAAGACCCAGGCCGTGGATACGCACGCTTTCCCGTGCGGTGGCATCCACAGCATGGCCATGTTAACACACCTACGCATCCTATGCATTAACGTGAACGGAATCAACGAAACACGAAAAACGGATGTGCTTAAATCGTGGCTGGCGGGACTTCGTGCCCCCGCTGACCTCGTCATCCTTGTCGACACCCGTCTCATCTGCAGAATCCCCAACCTTGACTTAAAATTTCGACCTCATGCCTCCACTCACGCCCCAGCACTACTCTCTACCGACAGCGCTACAGGGAGGCCCACTCTCATCGGTGGTGTCTCTATCCTCTCTTTCAACAGGGGTATCTCGCTGTCCTCCCCACTCCCCTCTGCTGGTGACAGACTTATCACTGTACACGTCAACTATCTCCGCGAGCAAATCCGCCTCATCGCCATCTACGCCCCCACACGTTTCTACGGACGTCGGATATGGTGGACCACCACGCTCGTCCCGGCACTGGAAGCCCCCACCGCTGCCACTGCATCCATGCTTGTCGGAGATTTCAACTCGGTCAGCCTTCCCATCGACAGAAACCGCCCTCCCAAAGACTTTGAGGCTCGTGAGGGCGATTCATTCGCCAAACTCATGGTAACCACGAACTGGTCGACACTTTTCGGACACTTCATTCCACGCCGACAGACGTCTTCTCCTTCTTTGGGAGGCAGCATCACAACACTGCAACACCGCCTTCTTCCTCCTGACTCGACAGAATATACATCTCTCGGGCCTTCGTATCCCACCTTGCTGCATGTCCGTACATCCAAACCCGCACGGCAATCACGGACCACCTCTTCGCCCCTCTCTGCTCGCTCAGTTTCACCAACCCCACAGTTGTCCCTCGGCCGTGGCGACTCCGACAGCATCTACTCATGCGCCCCCATATCTCACAAATCATCGACTCCGCCCTCGCAGTCTTCCCATCCACCCCTTCCCCAGACTCCTGGGACAGATGGAAGCTCGACCTCACCCTTAACCTCAAGCGCTTTTCCAACCAGGAGAGACGTCGCGTCGATGGCACAGTTGCACGTCTCGAACACACTATCGGCTCACTACAACAACATGCAGAGTATATGCCTCTAACTCAGGTAGAGTCTACCTGCCCCGACCAAGCAAGACTCCATCTGGCCACGTATGAAGCCTCAAAAGCCTCCGAGATTGCGCTCAAGGCCAAGCTCAAAGTGGAAGGGCAGAGAGAAATGGGATTTTCCTCTCTTCTCTCCAGCCTCAACTCGCGAATCAAAGGCTCGATCATCAGTTCCCTGATCTTACTTAATGGACAGACGACGTCGGACCTCACCACCATGACCAACATGTGCTCTAATTTCTTCTAGACACTCTACAGCAGGAACAACCCCGTTACCCCAAACACTTCCTTCTAGCAACACATCCCCCCCTCCTCTATCCCAGACCCCTTACTCCTACGCCTCAGCGCCCCTCTCTCCCTAGGCGAAATTGGAAAAGCGCTGTTATTTCTATCCCGAGGAAAAACCCCCGGCCCAGACGGCCTTCCCGGGGAACTCTTTCGGCAGTTCTCCCCGCGATTTGCACCGGCCTTCCACTCCCTGCTTTCCCCACCACAGCCTCTCTCTCGCCTACCTCCGTCCATGCTGACCGGACACACCCAATGTATGTGTTACAATCATCTCATGCTTTATGCAACGCATTTCTCATTTCCCTAACATCGCATCAAACTTTCCAGGTCATGCGATTGCTTTCTCGCCACGGAGAGCTTCGTAGACGCGGCGGCAACGCTATGTTTTTTTCCTACCCGCAGCTCCTTTGTTCACGAGCTTTAACGTTCTACCAAGCAGTAAGTAGGTGAGTTTGTTTTTACATGTTCGAGTACCAACGATAACCAGCTTCTTGTATTCTGTCTATTGTATCCTTACAGTCCCAAATAGTACGAGTGCTCATTGGCCCAAGACTGCATGCGGTTTCACGGAAGTCACGAGAAGTTCCCATTTCTTGCAGGAGTTAAATGAGGACCAAGAAGCTATGAAGCAGACTCGTGGCAAGGATATCAGTTCTAGTCAGGGTGGAGCTGTCGACCGCTATGAATGTGATCTCTGAATGCCATGATTCACCGAGACTCAATATTGGTGTTTTTTTTGCAGGCTATGTACGGACTCATCCCCCAAGTCGATATTATAGTCGCTAACTAGAGTAATGTGTTGGACTGGAATAGTTGCTTCTTTCATTGTGTTCGTTGTAAGGCCCCATAATTGTATGTCACTTCAGTATAAACGATTTATGTAGCCATGCCTGAAAGCAGTATTACCCCTGTCAGAATCTAGAGACAAGAATGAATGCATTGATCAAGAGTTGGGTACATAAGCTAACCCTAACATTGGGTTGTACCCCATATGGGCTACCTCACTACAGCCTACACAAACACAATATGCATTGTTTGACACACCCCCATAGGCAAAGTGGGGGAGAACAAGGGGTCACAAGACCAGTCAAGAGAAACAAACCAAGCTCAGGGTGGATCACAACGTCACCACACAGACTGAGCACAAGCAAAGGGCCACAAGGCCAGTCCACATGCAGAGGTATATATGCAACAAACAAAGTACAGTGATCACTACCTAGCAAGAGCAAGCATGCAGGTATATATATATAAAGATCACAGTACAGACAGAGTCTACAGCAAGTGTGGAAACGTAGGCACAAGGCCCAACAAGGTACAAAAGCGCTGATGATCACCAGACGGAAGTGCCTTGGTGAATATATCAGCAGTGTTGGCCCGAGTGGCCACGTGTGCAAGACGAAGCTGACCATGCTGCTGCAACTCTCGAGCCAGGAAGTAACGCAGAGCGATGTGCTTCGTTCTGTGCTCCAGTCTGTGCTCCTCACACAAGGCAATGGCTGCCTTGTTGTCAACGTACAGAACTGGAGGAGAACGAGGCCGCTCTCCCAGGTCGGTCAGCAGGTACGTGAGCCAGCGCAGCTCCTGAGCAGCCATGGCGGTGGCGTAGATCTCAGCCTCACAACTGGAGCTGAGAACAGAAGACGAGCGAGTAGAACGCCACGAAACAGAACCAGAGCCGAGGCTGAAAGTGTAACCCTGTGACGACCGCTGTGTAGCCTGGTCGTCAACCCAAGACGCGTCTGAGTGCCCAGTGAGGACCACCTCTCGCCGTCCTCCAAGCACGAGCCCCATGCCCGATGTACTGCACAAGTAGCGCAGTACCCTCTTCGCAGCATCCCAGTGCACCTTTCGGTGCCGACCAGGAGCCACGTAGCAAGCCAGAAGGCCAAGAGGG